GAGAGGTATGGTGGGGTCCCCGTTTTACAGCTGGGTTGTGAGAGACACAGGCAAGCAGAAATGGACGACCGCTTATAAGCTATAAATGGGTTTCTCCCACTTTGTTTCTACCTTTGACAGATTTCGGTTTCAAAGGTAATTTGCTTTGAAAATACTTCCCCCTCCTCCCCCCACAACCAGAGTTACAAGCAGCCTTAGTGAAAGGGAAATTTTAAGCTTAAAGTTAAAATGTCAACTGTAAAAACTGAAAGACTGAGTACCCGAAGTAATTTTTAAATTGAAATATTAAATTTTTTCTTAAAAAGTCAACAGTGTAATAAATGTACATTACTACAATGAATGCTATGTATATTTCAATTTTAAAATACAAAACTGTGACAGTTTTTCAAATACTTATTTCAAAAATTAAAGAAAAAGCCCCAAATTTCTATTTCTGTTTTGTCCTGGCAGGCAAGAGTTGTAGAATGAAGAATCCCAGCCCACTCTGTAATTTCTGCACTGCCATCTCGTAGCTTTATGACTGTAGTAAGTTAGGCAATTAGGGTTTGCATACAGAAACTCAAACATGTGACCTTAGGGAATAGGGTATTGGAATTTGGTTCCAGTTTGTTTGGCTTGTAAAGAATACATATGCAGATTAGAAAAACTGACCTCTCAGTCATGATATCTGCTTCCTAGGAAAATGGAAAAGTTGAACAACCAAACCTCCTGGAGGAGAAGGTCACAAATTGGGTTGGGCTTCTTGAAACACGGAATTCTAATGGTGTTCAGAACCCAGTGACTTGCCAGAGGGTTTCAGCCTCTGGGCAAGTTCACTCTGGATTTGGTGAGATGGAATAATGACAATGGAACATTGTGGGTAAAAAGGGGCTCATACCAAGCTTTATTCTCACCGTGGCAGGTCAAGTGCTGGAATCACATTGGCCTCTGCATGCAGCAAGTCCATCTCAGTCTTTGCCTCGGCTCCAGCCTCTGCCCCGGGCACTGCCTCTGCTCCAGGCTCTGCCTCTACTCTCTGCTCCCCGTCTCTGCTCTCTTCTATAGGCACCCTCTTAGCACCAGGGGAACTCTTTTTATAGGAATAGCAGCAGTGATGTCTTATTGCCAACGGGTATGCAAGCATGCGCCTGCGTAGTAGGATAAGCATTTACCTCATTTACAAGGGGTGGTCAGGTGAAGACCGTGGCCACAGAACTTCCATTTTTCCCTACAACATGCCACAGGTAGGAGTTTGTGGATCTTTTCATTAGAGCAGGGATTCCTATAGTACTGAATATCACAACCACTTTGATGTGTTTTAGGAATACAGCGTTTGAGCCCCATCAGTGAAGGCTCTAGTATATCTGGGGAAGTGCCTTAATTGCTTTGTTTTAAAAAAAACCCAGTAGATTTTGAATGCCCTACTCCGCTTCTGCTATTCTTTCTGCTTCTGCTTCATGATTAGTGCAGCTGTGATTGTTGGCTCCCTCAGCGTCTATTGTATGTATCTTTTTTGTATCACAGGTTCACTGCCTCATCTTCAAGGCTCAGCTCCAAATACCACTTTCTCAATGAAGCCTTCCCTATTCCTGCTATTATAAATTGTACTCCACATACCCCCTCCCAGTAACTTCTCATCCCCTTCCCTGCATAACTTTTATCCAATATATATCATCTTCTAAGATACTACTTGATATGCTTATTCGCTGTTTATTGCCTATCCCATCCACCAGAATGCAAGATATATGAGGAAGAACTTATGTGTATTTTGTCTGTACAGTATCCCCAGCACCTAAATCAGAGAAGATGCTGAGTAAATGTCAAATGGCTGTGTGAATGAAGTTTTCTCTTAGTCATTGGCTGACATTAACCTCTGCTCAGTGATGCTCAGTCAGAGCCAATATCACCGTGGCCTCCCTCTGTGTGCCCTTGTGGACTCAGCTTCCCCAACGGCTTGTCTGATTGGGCCAGCTCTTAGGGATTGTTATTTCCCCTGGGTCATTTTTGAATGAGTACCATTTGGCTGTTATAGGTCGGTGTCCACCCAGGGTTAATCAGCAGTGATTCAGAGATTATACAGCACACAAAAGTACTCTTTGGGGCTAACACTTCAGAAGGGGCTGTGGGTGGAGCACTTTCTCCAAGAAGCCAATTTTGGTGCAGAGTGACTGTTAGGCAAATTACCTAATCCTGCTGAGCTTCAGTAAAAAGGTGTTAGCCATACCTGCCTGTTTACCTCTAGGAGTTCCTTAGAAGTTCCAGTGAGCAATGTATGGGAAACACATGCACAGAAAAAGTGTTTTTAATATTACATATTAACTTATTATATCAATTAATGAATTAATCAATCAAGGTACATGTGATAAATCGTAAAATTCTAGATGACATTTAAATGTGGCTTTTAATAAAAAGGCTAAGGAAGTTGTAGAGTATAAATTTAGGAATTTCTTGCTGAAAATGATCCCCCACCCCAGAATGTTTTTTAAATGTTATTCTCATTTCATTGATTTCTATTTGGCAGGGGTTCTTGGTACCTAACTTCCAAAGTGATACTTAAAATGAATAAATGCAAAGATCTGTACTCAGTCTCCAAAAATAAATTCCACAAATACAGGTTGAAGGAGATAGGGTTTTATAACTGTATCTATGCTAAAGACTTGAAGAACATTTGGGATTATTATTTTTAGTTGGCAAAAACATATTTATGAATAACATGGGGCAGTAGAAAAATAATGTGATATCAAGTTGAATTGTGAAATATTATCATAAGAATGCAGCAAATTGTATTTACCTATTCTTCCTTTAATGCCTGGAATGTTGGACTCAATTGTAGGTTCCACAGTTTAAGAGCCATTAGGGTAAGTTTATATGAGAGCATATGGAGGTCATAAAGGTAGGAAGTCATAGAACTGGGATTTGACCACACACCACTTTGGAGTTTAAATCCAGTGTTGTTTTCTACCAATACCATAGCTACAGACTAAATTTATAGGGAGACTCATTTCAGTTCAATGCAGGGACTAGCAGGACTGTTCAAAGATGAGGTATTGTGCAGTAGTGAGGGGTTCCTTATCACTCAGATTCAAGCAAATGCCGGGACAGCTACTTTGCAAGGATCTGGCAGTCCCCTTGATTTATACATATACAAAGAATTTGTTACTTTAATAATAAAATATTAAACATGAAAGCTTATAAAGCCAAAGGAACTCCACAAGTGATGCCTAGTGAATTTAAGTGATTGAGCTTTGTTCATTCAGTGTTTATTGAAAAACACAGCACCCAGACTTCATTCTCTGGATTTACAGTTTAATGTTTTTTTCTGTTACAGCAGTTACCCTTTATCTAATAACTGGACCTAGAGGGTATGGAAAGAGGAAGGGCAGGAATGTTTGGTGAATTCCTATAATGGATTGTTTGGCATGCTCTTGCCTTATTAAAACAAGAAAGAATGTGAGTGGTAGTAGGGAGGGTTTAAAATGATGAGCAGAGACTACCACCTAGGAAAGGAAAAACAGAATAGTGTGGAAGGTTATGGAAGGCAGGGACTCTAGATTGTACCCTCTTTCTTGTTAAGAAAATGCTCAACATTTATTTGTTGGGATGAATAATGACATCAAGACTTCAACAATATTTTAAGAGAAACTTCCTAGTACTGAGGACTGTGCTATGTCGTCTGGGAGTCAAAAGTGAACTAGACAAACATTTCTATCCTTCTAAGAGACTCACAGTCTAGTAAGAAAAGACCACCAAGCAAAGCAATGGGAAAAAAGAAAGTACTAAGGATTATCAAAGAGAATAGATAAAAGGCTCTATGAAAGCAGAAAGGAAAGAAAGAATATTTAATTCATTGTAAGTGTGTAAGGTGAGGATGTGGGTGTGGTGAAGGAGATGTCAGGAAGATTCCAAAAAGGAAAGAATGCAGAGTATCATCTTGAAGGATGGTAGGAGTTTACCTGGTTAAATGAGGGATGGATTTCAGGTTGGGGGCACAGAAACAGAGTCTGTTGAATCTGTGTGACATGTGGTGGGAGTCAAGAGCTGAGCTGAAGAGGTCTAAGGGATCAGGTCATTGATGGCCTTGTACACCATGGTAATTAGCTTGAACCTGGATGTCCAGGTGGGGAACCTCTGAAAAAATTTAAAGGGGGAGGCTTTGTGGTTTTGGAGCATTCTCTGGCAGTCACAGAGAATAGAAGCAGAAATGAAACTAGAAAGGCTTGACATAGAGTGGGGCAAAGAAAGAGGCTGACTTTGTGGAGACACATCAGTCACAGAATTAAAAGGAAGAATTCATCCATGGGATTTTTAAATCAGAAAACTTAAGTAGAGAGAAATTGGGTTGCTTAGTTGTAGGAATGGAAAGATTTTATCAATGGATTTAGGTGATACTGAAGTGAGAGGCATAATGAGTAGTCTGCAAGGCCTGGGGTTGGGACAAGGAAGCCCTAAACTTTTTAGGGGATGACTCTTGAACTGCATTCAGAAAATGACATAAATATGATATGTGCAATACAATTAGAGGAATGAGGACTCTGAAATCAGTGATTTGGAGAAAAATCACTAGGGTTCGTGGAGCTGCGGGAGTAGCCATTATCAGAGAGTCACTATCTGTGGAAAAATTTGGAACTGTACAATGCAAAGACCCCCAAAGAATAACTGCCCTGAATCCAGCCCTGCCTCACTACAACCCATTCCCCTCCAGCTGCCTTCCTTCTTCCGCCAGCCCACAGGCTGTGGAGAAGACCCATCCTTTGGCATCTCCAGGCAGCGGGTACTTGGAGGCAGAGGAATCCCAACAAACCAAGGATGACAATGTTAGAATTTTGAAAATCTTGGCGACCATATACGGCACTTACATATTTCAGGATGAGGACAGGGAAAACAAGCGACCTGCAAGGCGTCAAGGATCAGGGCCCTTCCTTAAGCCCAGCCCTCCCGACTCTAGGTCCAGGGCTCCCTCCTACACTACACTGCCCGCGGGTTTGGGAGGTCGGAGACCGGCGCTCGATGGGGATCGCCGGCTCTGCCGGGGTGCGTCCGAGGCCCCCTCCACTCCCAGCCCCGGGGGGCTGCTGCCCCGCCCCCTTCCTGCGCGGGCGGGGTCTCTGCGGCGCCGCAATCGGGCGCGCGCGGGGCTGCGCGGACGCGGGTCGGCCGCCGGTGCCCTGAGGTCGCCAGGCCGACCGCGCCGCCGCCCCTTGCCTGACGCACGGAGGGGCCGGGACGCGATTTGCGGCGAGTGACTGGAGCCGCCGCTACCGCCGCGCGGGCCCGCCCCGCCCCCAGCCCGCCTTTCTCCCGCCTCGGCCCTTCGCCTCCGCCCGCGCCTCGCTCGCGTCCCCGCGTCTTCCCGCCGCCCCGGAGCCTCCGGCCGCCAGCTCCAACGCCAGCCGGGTGAGTGTGGCCGCCGGGCGGCCGGGCTGGCGGAGCGCGCAGGCCCCGCGGCTGGGCGGTGAGGGCGGGCGGGTGCAGGCGGCAGCGGCCGGGGACCGGGCTTTCTTCGCCCGCGCGGGCGGTGGGGCGGTGGGGTCGCGCGGCTGAGGGAGGGACGCCCCCGCCGCCGCCGCCGCAGACAAAGCGCCCTTGGTGGGAGCCTCGCGGGGCCCCTGCCTCCGCGCAGCCTACCGAGTGCGGCCGTGGCCCGCAGAGACCGGGCCGCTCGCGTCGCCTCCCGCTAAGCGCCCTTGTTCATTTCTGGGTGAAAGGGACCCGAATCGTGCAACAGGTTTGGGTGTTAATTCCCTATTTATTAACGGGTCTTGTCCTTGGGCGTGCGAACACCCGAGGTGGTAGCGCCCAGCTCCGGGGCGAATCCCCGCTGCCAGCGCCGGAGGCTGGCTCCTTTGTGTGACCGGTGATCAGCCCTGCCCGGTGGATGGGGGACACCGGCCCCAGGCCCCCGGGCTGCGCCGAGATTGCCGGACGTCTCGCTCACGGTGTAGGGCTTGGCTTCCCCCGGGTCTGCAGGACGTTAACATCTCTCCAGCCTTTGGAGGAATCACAAAGAGAAGGGAGAGAGGTTTGGCAAGGATCTCTGGTTATGTATTTATTCTGTGTGTTAGATAGGCTCGTGTTAGAGAAGAGTGTGGCCGGCTCTTGAGGGTGCGGGTGGGATTTCACCCTTAGATGCACGATTTGGACTTGCAGCTGCTGTGACAGCAAGTGGTTCTCATGGTGCTTTGACAGCTTTCGCTTGTACAGACATCACCCCAGAAGTTCGAAGCGTGGTTGAAGGAGTAGCTGGATAGCAGCTGTTTGACAGATCGACCCTTTCTTCACATTGCTTTCTGTACAGAATATACCCACCGTGCATCGCATAGGCTGGCGAACTCTCAAATTAAAATTGCCACTCAAAATATCCCCGTATTGGAAAATATTAATTCACATGGTTTTCTTTGGCTTGATAAACCTTCTTTTTCTTAGGTGGGATAAACTTTTTTCTCCCCTCCAAGGAAGACTATGTAGTAAAGAACAATTTATCTTTGTTTACATACCTTGGGTCTTGTTGTTACCTAGCTGGTTTCACTGGAATGCTATTTTAGTATAACAATACTAAATGGAAGGAAAATATCTTCCTTTTACTTTGAGCAATAAAATACTTCATTGTTCTAGAACCAGGAAGCTTTTATACAAAATACTTTGTGTGGACAAAAGTTGGTGACTATCTTTACCCCATGACCAAATACATGAAAGAATTCCCAGAGGACTTAGAAAGCATTACACAGCTCTATAGATTGTTTTTATATCCCAGATTCCAGGAAATCATTTTGCTGTGTATTTATTCAAACAATCTAGACTAAATTTAACCTTAAAATATGGGCCTACTCTATAAATCCCTGAATGTTAGAGGATGCATTGATTGCATTTAGTTTACCAAGCATTTTAACATCTGTGAATAATAATTGGAAGGAATAATTGATGGGTGAGAATTAGAGCTGGTGATGGACCTAGAAATGTGAAAGCAGAATGTGGGACATAGAAAGTGATAGAGGTTGCAGAGTTTCATCTACTCCGGTTTTAGTAGATTGAAGGGCACATCTGAAAATCAAATGTCCACTATTGAAAAAACAGTCTTAATTACCTTTTTTTTGACCCATTTTTTCCCATGTGTTCTACAAAGACTCCTTGAAGCTTTTTCTACTTGCTAAACACAATCTTGATATTAATAAGGATTTTTTTTAAGAAATGAAATTATACCAAGTTAATCTTATCTGTACAAAGCTCTGGCATAATTTTACTGAAATTCCATCCGTGTTTGTAACTAACGTCAAAGAGCTTTTGTAGCTGTTAGAAGCAAAAGTAACAACCCCTTGAGAAAACTGGGATATTTACTAATAAAAAGTAGCAGAAACTTAAATTTCTATAATAGTTTTTTTATTGAGGTATGACTGATAACAGCATAGAATTCACTCTTAAAATGTGCAGTTTGGTAGTTTAAGTATACTCACAAAGTAGTGCACACATCATCACTAATTAAAAAATATTTTCATCATCTTGTAAGGAAAACTCCATACTCCTGAGCTATCATCCCCACTTCCCTGCACTTGGCAACTACAAATCTACTTCCTGTCCCTATGGATTTTCCTATTCTGGACATTTCATACAATATGTGGCCTTTTGTGTCTTTGTGTCTTTCAGTTAGCATATTTTCAGTTTCATATTATGCATGTATCAATAGTTCATTCCTTTTTATGGCTGAATAATATTTCACTATATGGATAGGCTGCATTTTGTTTATCCATTTACCAATTGATGGACATTTGAGTGGTTTCCACCTTTGCGTTATTATAGGTAATGCTGCTGTGAACACTCATTACAAGTTTTTGTGTGGACATATGTATTCAGTTGTCTTGGATGTGTATGTAGATGTAGAATCGCTGAGTCATATGGTAACTCTGTTTAACTTATTGCCAAAGGAATTACCAAACTATTTTCCATAGCTGCTGCACCATTTTACATTTTCACCAGCAAAGTAAGAGGGTTTCATTTTCTCCAACTTATTTAAAGTGGGTTTAATACTGTCTTTTTGATGATAGCTATTCTGTGGGGTGGTATTGTGGTTTTCATTTCGCTTTTCATTTGCATTTCCCTAATGGCTAATGATGTTGAGCCATCTTTTCATGTTCTTACTGGCCATATGTATATCTTCTTTGGAAAAATGTCCATTTAATTTATAACCTTTTCTGATCTTACGTATTCACATGTATTTTCTCATTTAGTCGAAATAGTCCTGTAAGTAGGTTTATCCTGTTTTACTGCTAGGAAACAGGTGCGAAGAGGTTAACTTACTCATTTTTTAACCTTAACGATAGTAAGAGTTAGGGTCTGATTGTAAACTCAGGTGTTCTGACTCTGCTGCCTGCATTCTTTCCACTTCATGAGGCATACAGAAGTTGAATTGTGTTTGCAAATTTCTTGGCAGATCATTGACAGAGTGGGAGAAAAAATACATAAAAATCAAACCAAATAACAAAAAGCAGGTGTTCTGGCTACATTGTATCATATTCACCAGATTTTGTTATGCTTTTTCAAATAAATTCTTTGTTTTTTTCCTGTCTTAGTAAGATAGATCTGATTTTCATATTTCCTGTGGGGAAACATAAAGATTAAACCTAGTACCAGCTTTGTAGCAGCCTAGTTAGTACTAGAACCCACTATTCACTGAGATACTGTGCTTTCTATTCCCTGTACCTTTCATGTTCCCCATTTTCCTACTCGTTTATTCCCTTTAACCTTAAAATAATTGAATAATTTCAGATTTTTCATAAACATTAACACTTTTATTTTTGAACAGGGCAGTTTGCTAGTTTTCCTTTGAAGTGCAGGATTACTAGAGTACATATTTCAGTTTTTATGTACAGCTCTGTACCAGTTGTAGCAGGTGTGCAAAATTCTCAACTCCTTGGAGAGTAAGTATAGGCCATATGTGTTATTTATTCATCTTGTACATTGTCCAGCATAGTGCCCCACACATAGCAGGAACTCTATAATCTTTGTTGAATGAGTCAATACAAGTCCATTTTTTTATTGCAAAAAAACAATATGGTACACTTTTTTTTTTAAGAATAAAGGCAATACAAATTCTAGAAAAAGAAACATTTTCTTATCCCTGGCATATAACCTAAAAAATATTAAATGATAAAAATAAAGGATAAAAATTAGAACTTGACCTAAAATTCTACACTGTAATTTATAGAAAGAAGTAACTGTTGTTCCATTTCCTTAGAGCCTAAGAAAAATAGGCTCTAAGGGCCTCGTGACTGGCACAAGTGCTTATTATAGGAGTTGTACTCTGAGTGTTGTTAAATGAATGTCCAGTGAATGGATGAGAGTTTTCATTATAGCAAGTAGAGGAGATAGAGTAAATGAATATTTAGGCCTTGCTTTTCATTTATATATTTTAATTGTCAAACCTGATGCATTTTAATTATGAAAATAATTTTGAAAATTCAAATAATACATGAGTATACAGCATAAAAGCCAAAAATCTCCCTTTTCTTATCCCCATTCCTTCCTTTAAACCCAAGGTAACCATTGTTAACAGTTTAGGGTTTTTATTTCCAAACATACATCTTTGCATTAATGCATATGTGTGTACAAATACATATTTGCATATCCAGCCAGACTTACATATATGTGTATTCACAATGGTTTTTCTTTTACAAATTGGATTGCACTGCACCTATTCCTTTGTTTTTCACTTAAGACATTTGCATCTATGGTCACAAAGGATAAACATAACACTTACATGGCCTTTTAGTTTGCTAAAAGGTTTTAGTGTCAAGATTAAGCTGGCCTCTTAAGAATGAATTGAGAAACTCCCTTTTTTCCTCCAGTGCTCTGGAATAGTTTAAAATGTCTGTCTTGTAAACATTTATTAGAAATGACCTGACAGCCTTGGGTAAGAGAAGGGATCTGATGCAACCTTTCTAATTTTTCCTGTTTTTCTTTTTTTCTTTTCCATCACGTTTTGGCTCCTATATTCTGCTACATTTTTGGTGAAGGAATTCTTCCACACTCATACTTCCCTTCCCCGAGGTCTGATGAGTAAGTTGACCAAACAAAAAAAAATCAAATGATTAAATGAACCAGTGGATGCAGAAGTATGTGCACTTTTCTCTTAGATTCATGATTAAGTCCTGTACTTACTAGTTCTGTAAGCTTTAGGGAAGTTATTTATTCTTTTTGAATTTCTGTTTTCTTGTCTGTGGCATGGTAGTAATTCTCACCTTTCAGGAGTCTTGAAAGTATTAAATGAAATGTGAGCTAATATATGAAAAACCTCAGTAGTTGCCTATAATTAAAATGAAAAAAATGTGTAATACTAAACTGTAACATGGTATACAAATATAAATTTATCACTGTAGTTATTCTAAATTATTTTAGCTTAACAA